TTAAAGGATGAAAAGAAAGCAAGCTACAATGTAGGAAACAATATTTGCAAAACACATGCTGTCTGTGTGTTGGGCAGTATGTAGAATGAAGTGAAGAATCTCAGAACTCACAGTAAAAAGGCAAACCAGCCAATTAGAGCAGCGGTTCTCAACCTGTGGGTCGCGACCCCTTTGGCGGTCGAATGACCCTTTCACAGGGGTCGCCTAAGACCATCCTGCATGTCAGATATTTACATGACGATTCATAACAGTAGCAACATTACAGTTATGAAGTAGCAACAAAAATAATTTTATGGTTGGGTCACAACATGAGGAACTGTATTTAAAGGGCCAGAAGGTTGAGAATCACTGAATTAGAGCAATGAGAGCGCGGGCAAGAGAAAGGAAGACATCTCCCCGGAAGAGACAGGCAGGTGCCATAGCACATGAACAGCTCGTCAAAGGCCTTGTTCACGTTACAGTTAAAACGCAGGGAGACGTCACCGCACAGGCCTCCGAGGGCTGGAGTGGGGACTAGAGCCGAACCTTGTGCTGGGAGGGCGCAGGGCGAGCCGGGAAACTCGTCCCTTGCGCTCCGCTGCCGGGACGGATAATGGTGCAGCCACTTTGAAAAGTAACGGAGTGGGTTCTGTTCAAAAGCCAACAGATAACTACCAGCGTTCGGGGCATTCACTCCAGTGCAGTGACATTCCTGTTTACACAAAAACCTGTATACAAATGGTCACACCAGCTTTATTCTTAATCAAAACAAAACAAAACAAAAACAGGAAGAACCTAGATGTACTTCAATAGGTAAATGGTTAAAAACACTAGCCCATCCATACCGTGACAGGCAGCAATAAAAAAGGGACAAGCTATTGGGACATGCGACACCTGGGTATATGGCCAGAGAGTTGCATGGAGTGAAAAAGGCAGCCCCAGAGGCCTATGCTGTATGATCCCACTCACATAGCTTTCTTGGAAGGGAAGGGAGGGGAGGGGAGGGGAGGGGAGGGGAGAATACACACACACACACACACACACACACACACAGTGAGCAGAGCGGAGTAGTGGTGAGCAGGAGTCTTAACCACCTCAGGGTCAGGTCTGCCTGTGGTGTAGGACGCTCCTTTACGAGACGTTATTATTGGGGGAGTTTTGGGGGAAGATCCACGGAGCAGCTCTGAGTTATTTCTCGCGTTTGTATGTGAAACTACATTTACCTCAAAATAAAAATTTAATGAGGAGCCATCCAGCCTCGAAAAGACACGGAAGACTTATGTGTGTGGCTGCGTGAAAGGGGCCAGTAGGCGAAGGCGCACACTCCCCGGAGCCACGGTCCAGCTCTCAGGAACGCGCGAGCCAGCAGAGAAACTCCGTGAGCACAGCCGTTGTCACAATTAAGTTACATAAAGTTAATCACTAGAAAAACTAAATTAAAAACAAAGCTATAAAGACTCAGAAGGACCTCTTTCTACATCTGCTACTACTTTTTGCTGTTAGTGTGCCCTTGAGGGTACTTATACCTCCTGTATCCGTTTGGTGGAAACTATACCATGTCCTGTTACTGCACATCTCCTCCCAGCTCAGCCTGCAGTGACCCTGATGGCACTGAAATGGGCCGTGGAGGGAGTATTTACACCACAGAAACCAAGGCATCCACCCCCCCACCCCCCCAAAAAAAAGAACCAGTGGTTAAATAGTTCCTAGCATACTCCTAAACACAGGCAATGTGCTTTGCATAAACAACAAAAGACATAAAGTAAGTTCTCCAAGGTTTTCTTCCCCTCCCTTCCCTTCCAATACTTAAATCTCTGATGTGTCCAGCAGGGCCCAGACCGCCTGCGAGCGGAGAGTCGAATGTATGGACTCTCGCTGCCTAAACGCTCAGCCTGAACAAGGCTGCCAGCTGGGCACAGGGCGTCCACTTCAGCTGTTCCCTGCCCTTTGCCACAAACCCCTGCAGGGTCTTAGCCGCCTGTGTGAGCTGGATGCCTGATAAATGATACAACGCAGTCAGGGTACACATCCTTGACCCGATGGATTAGAAGGTTGTCTCTGTGGCATTAGGTCATCCAATGAAAATAATATCGCTGGGCGTACTTTCCTACTGATGTCATTGGCACCGATGCAGAATTCCCTGTTTATTCTTTAATCGTTTGATGGGACTTCATCTATTATAGTTTACTGTTCTTTCAGGCAAATCAGGGATTATCTTTGAATAACTATGTATTTGTGAAAGGATAGATATCAACATATAATTTTAGGGTCTTGACCATAATCAAATCAATTTCCACCAAAAAATCCACAATTTTTGATCTACTAGAAATATTAAATAATTGTTACCAATGCTCTTTCTCAGTAATGTCCTCAAATGTACAATCTTCTTGTAGTTAAGATTTAAAATCTTACATAAACATTTCATACTGTGGAGCCACACTGCTCTGAATGCTGGGAACCAAAAGGAAAATCATGTTTTATTGGAAGAATAGGAGTCATCAGTGAAAATGTGATCAGTTCCTTTTTCAAACCTTACTTCAATGTGTCATCTTCCGAGTAGACACCAGGCTTAAATTCCTCCAAAAGGAAACATTCTTTTTTTTTCATATTAGTTTTATAGATTAATATTTTGAAATTAAGTTAACAGTGATTTATGTGTGCCCAAGAAGTGCTGTGTTTTAAATTTGAAATTGTGATCCTGCCAAAGTGACAAATTTAAGATCAGTAGGTGAATTCCATTCACACCTTGTAAAGGTACCCACTTACAAATAATGGGAGTAAGAGAAAAAGGTACTTTACAGACATTTCCCATGATGCCTGGCAGCTGCGCTTCCGGTGGAGGGGGCACACCTCTGAGGGGAGCCACCTGAATGCCCAGCTGCAGGTGGGCCCGGGGCTCACTGAGGAGCCTGACAGAGGCCACAAGACTTCCTCTGCTCCCGACAGGACTGCCTGCGGGTGGCCCATGTGGATTGAATATGACCCCATGAAATGTACATTGTTGCCCAGAACAGTGTGTTATATAAAAGACTAGAGGCCCGGTGCATGAAATTCGTGCACGGGGAGGGGGTGGTCCTTGAGCCCAGCCTGCACTTTCTTCAATTCTGGACCCCTCAGGGGATGTCCGACTGCTGGTTTAGGCCCAATCCTGCATCAGGCCTAAACCGGCAGTCGGACATCCCTCTTGCAATTCAGGACTGCTGGCTCCTAACTGCTCACCTGCCTGCCTGCCTGCCTGCCTGATCGCCCCTAAACACTCTGCCTGCCTGATCACCCCTAATGGCTCCCCTGCCAGCCTGACCACCCCTAACCGCTCTCCCCTGCTGGCCTGATCACCCCTAACCCCTCTGCCTGCGTGCCTGATTGCCCCTAACCACCTCTGCCCAGCTCGCCACCATGGCTTTGTCCAGAAGGACGTCCAGAAGGACGGCTGGAAGATGTCTGGTCTATCTGGTCTAATTAGCATATTACCCTTTTATTAGTATAGATAATAGTACAGACTGATTTTGCATAATGCCTACAATTGATTAAAAGTCTATTAATAATTTTCTCTATACTACAAAGTTGATATTGAAATACACGTGGAACTTTTTTGATTTTCCTATTTTATATCTCTTTTCCTTGATTTGAGTTCTAAGCTATAAAGTTCTCAAAAATGTTAAGAAAAATATTATCTCCTAATAGCTGTGTAAAGCTATAAACATTGAAGAAATGATATTACCAAGGTATTAAATGACACAGATTGAATTCCACAAGCAGAATCATTTAGTGCTGCTGTTCATAGCATGGGCAACAAAGACACTGGGTGAAGGAATCGTGTGGCTTCAATTAAACACTTGCCAGAAACTACACTGATTTTCAAAATAAAACATCTCTTTTGGGGGGTTATGAGAAATTTTAAACCAAAGAAAACTAACAGACTTGTACACTCAGGCATGAGGTTAAGTTATTTGTCTGCCCTGGACTTTCTGATCTGTGGTCTTGAAGGCCTTCCTGCTGTGCTTGTGTTAATAATGATGACTCGATCAACTGCAGTGTAAGATCTGCTTAGACAGGGAAAGGGTCTTCACACAATCTTCCATCTGAAATTCCAGATGCTATGCTCCGTGCGTTTCAAAGCGCCCTGCAGTCCGTGTCAATATTGGCATCGCCTTGGTTATTGGTGGAGAAACTCCAAACACGATGTTTGCTTCGGCACACGGCTCCGTAAACAGTGACAGGAACCGGGCATTCGACGTATCAGCACGCCCAGCCTCCTAATTTTTGGGGGAGGACTCTGATGGGTGGTCGGGATCCCAGGGCTCCTGGGACCCTATTGACCGCAGCACCCCATGTGGACTAGGCCTCCCGCATGCACGAACCAAGCCCTTTTCCTGAAATCTCAGCAGTCTGCCCAGTCCTCTTCCGTGTGCTGGGATAGCGGCTCACAGGTTGTGAGGGGAGAAAAACAAAACCGAAAACATACCAAGAGGAAAAACAACAACAAACAAGCCGTCGCAGAGCCCGGGTGAGGGAACCGGAGGCGGCAGAACAGCCTCAGAGGCGGTTCCCCCTGCTTCTGAAGCTGTCGGCAATGTCTGCGCCTATGATCAGGGACATGGGCCCCCACCTCTCGGGGCTGTTTTACTTCCAGTCCCTGCTACTTCCGGACAGCAGCCAGGGGTGCTCTGCGCCTCTCCCTCCATCCTGTCCCCCCTTCTCTCTCTGTCAGCGACCTCTGGTCCTCCCCCCGCTCTGTCCTCGGTCTTCAAGTCCCAGCAGAGGTGCTGACAGGGGAAGGTGGTGATCGCTGCAGAACAGGCCACAGCTGACTCGTGCGCACACGCTGGCCAGGCCCTTGGGCGGTTCTGTGTGTCTCAGAGCCACACTTGGACGGTAGCAACGAGGCTCTGATACTGTGTATGTCAACATAACGCGGGGCGGCTGCTCCGTGGGCTCGCTGCTGCGGATGCTGACGGCGACCCCGAGGACACAGTGTACCTGGGCAGGGACACCCCTTGTTAGTTATCTGCTGGGTGTGCGGTGTCTTCACGTCCGCGTCCGGATGCGGTTTGGCACCAGGCACAGCGGGCGCACAAGGACACAGTTGGGGGTGTGGCTAGTAGCGGCCTCTTACTCGGGTCTGTCCGGTTTCTGGTGGTTCGGTCCATGCGAAGAGCACTCCTCTTTGAGGTTATTTCTCCTTCAGGAGGGTGAAGGCTCAGATGTAAACCTCTGGTTTTTTTATTTTCACCTTTTCCCACTGCTGATCTCAGAGGCGCCCCTGCTAGGTCTCCCCAACAACGAGAACTGGACCGAACCGCCTCCTCCTGCTTAGAAGGGGCTCGTGTAGCGGCCCCGTGATCACCTTCCATTCTCCCGCAGGCTCCGTGATTGGTGCAAAGGGATATAAAAAAATATGTGAAGATAATTCTACAAAAAGAGCTGAGGCACAGGGAAGGGGGCTTCGAAGACGCCCTCCTCTTCGTGTTTATAAGGACGGGCCGGTCCCGTGTGACTGGGTTGGCCTTGTCATTGGCAGGGAAACAGTCGCATGCTTTGTCTAGCGTCACCCCGCTCTGGGCTGCTGTGCAGTGTTTGGAAGTCTGCAGGGTCGTGCCCAGAACAGATTCTCTGCCATCCGGGCCTCAATGCCGCTTCTTTAAACAATGACACCCCCTGATCTCCAGGTCCCAGAGACCACGCCTGCGGGAGCCAGAGCGGGTGGCTGACGCTGCTCCTACGCACAGAGCTGCTCTGCGTGCGGGACTCAGGGAGACGAGACGGTGAGGGTCCCTGCTAGCTGGCACCCGGGAGCCCCGGACAAGAGCAGAGCCTGTGACTCCACTACGGCGTGGGACTCCCCCGTGACCCGGAGGGGGGCTTCGGGGACCCACGTGGCCTGCGGCTGAGACGGTACTGTTGAGGGTTTCTCCCCTTGAGATAGAATTGTACTTTTTAAATATTTTATAAACACCAAAGTTATGCTATAAAAATAACATATTCTTATCCTTGCAGGTCTATGTCTGGACTGACAGAGTAGGGCCCACATATGATTTAGACGGGGTTCCTGAAATGGGTCCACTGATATACGACTATGATGCAACGAGAAAATGTTCACGCAGCTCAGGTCTAGTTTTAAGGTAAACAATTTCATCTCAAACTCGAGTGACCATTGGATTTTTGCCGCATTGATCAGGTAAAAACCATGTTGCGTAAACTCCCCGAGGCAGGAAACAGGCGAAGGAAGCCTGCACGCGTGTCTGGGGACTTTGGGGTGGTTTCAGTTCTGGAATCCGAGTCCAAATCCTCCTCACTTTCTCCCGAGCTGCTTGGACATCGTGGGACATGGGCACGGAGCTGGGGCCGTGGGCCCACTGCGTCTCCCAGGAAACAGGAAAGGATCAACCACAGGACCCGCTCCTGCCCGCACCGTCGGAGCATCGGACACCATCTCCCCAGCTCCCTCCTCTCCCTCAGGGAAGGTGAGTGACCACGCTGCTCCCGGCCCCACCGCCCTCAGACCTCAGGCCCGGGTCTCAGGGTCATTCAGGGGGAAGGTCAGGCTCTCGTCCAGGAACCACGGAGCCTCCGGCAGAAACCACAGGTCTGTCGGGAATGGCTCAGATCAGCCCTGAAGGGACCCGGCTCTCTCTCCTTAACATCACGCCCCTTCGCCAGGAACAAAGCCAGTTTCTTTATGATAATCAGCCTCCAGAGTCACCGGCTGGGACTTGATGGGAAGGAGAGAGTGGACATCAACTGGCCTCTCATTCCTCTTGAAAATGGTTTTGAATCATAGGCTCTGAGATGACTAGAGCTTTGCCTGTTCCCAGGAACCGTGAATAAAACATTTCCAACACAAAACATCTCGCTGAGTTAATGATTCAAGGTGATGACTGGGCTCAGGGTTACAGAGATTCACAATGACTGTGAGTTCCCACGTCACATCTTCTGTTGTTGTTTAAAGAAGGGAAGATAGAGCCTATTTTGAATGATCTGTGGGCCCCACGGGAGAGTAAATCAAGGTTTTCGGGGGGGGGGGGGGATGAACAATGAGACAACTGGGAGGCCGGCCCAGAAGGAAGAGAGAGTCGGAGGCTAGTGCTGCTCAGGGGCCAGCCCCGCAGAACGCACATCAGCTGTCAGCTGGCTCATTCCTGCCCAGCAGCTGTTCCTCTGGAAATAGCTTCCAGATGAGACGAGGACTACAAAAGGCTTAGTGACCAAGGCGGCTCCACCCCGCGCCGCTGCCCCGGGCACGCCGAGAGCGCACAGTCGGCCACAGGCTAGGGAACACGCCAGGGGGTCCCCCTTAGTGCTGAGCTACGTCCATGCCACACAGGATTCAGGGTACCATGTCCCTCACTATGTCCACACCACACGGGGCTCAGGGCACCATGTCCCTCACTATGTCCACACCACACGGGGCTCAGGGTACCATGTCCCTCATTATGTCCACGCCACACGGGGCTCAGGGCACCGTGTCCCTCACTATGTCCATGCCACACAGGGCATAGGGCACCGTGTCCCTTCCTATGTCCACGCCACAGGGGCTCAGGGCACCATGTCCTTCACTATGTCCATGCCACATGGGGCTCAGGGCACCGTGTCCCTCACTATGTCCACACCACACAGGGCATAGGGTACCGTGTCCCTTCCTATGTCCACGCCACACGGGGCTCAGGGTACCGTGTCTGTGGATTTCCTTCATGATGGCGGCGGCCTGCTGCTTCCTCTGCCTCACCATGGAGCTGTGCGACAGCATCGCCTGCTCCCTGTGGAAACAAACATGTTGCAGCAGCGGAGGGCTCCCTGGGGGTGTCATGTCATCGTCCCTTTAGAGAGGGTCTCTGTCCCTCAAGGAGGAACTGCCGCTGCTCTCGCTGAAGGCTTTGCCTGCGCCTCCCCTGCAGGCACCACAGCCTGTCGCCCTGGACGGCCGCGTCACAGTGGACAGAGGGGACACGGGGCTCGGTCTTGTCTCTGCACAAGGACCCCCAGGCGGTGGGGATAGGGACAGAGCTGCCCTCCCCTCCTGCTCTCCCGGCTCATGTTCCTCTGTCCCTGTGTCCCTGCTGCCCCCTCCCCAGCATCCCAACCCCTCTTGGCCGCAGACCGCAGAGTGAGGACAGGATGCAGCTCAGGCCACACGCTTCAGGGGACGGTTTAAAATTGGCATCGACAGCTGTCCTTTAGGGTGAAGAAGGCTCATTTGTGAGTCACAATCCTGAGCCCATGACAAATGAGGGAGAACACAGGAGGCGGTGCACTCACCTTGCCCTCGGCCGCGCTTCCCAGCAGGATGGCCGGGTGGAGGGGAGGCCCAGACGGCGGGGTAGGGGTGCTCCTGGGCCGAGGGTCTACCCCTGAGCCCACGATGGCATGGTCCTTGCTCGGCTCCGGGGACTGCGTCTTGCTGAAGGGCCTGGCATCCGCTGACATCAGCCACTATATATAGCTCGACACTCAGCCACTCAGAGCTTCCTGGCGGGAGAGGAGCGGGAGATTAGGGCTCTGTGCTGTGCTCCGGGGTGAGGCGGTGCAGGAGGCGACACACAGCAGGACTCTGGGGCGCCTTCTGTTGGAGGGGACAGTAGCGAAAGGGATGGTGAAGGCTGTACGATGAAGGTCGCATGCTGCATCGTAGTTGTGATGGGTGAGGCACTCACGGGTTAGAACAGAATGGCCCGTTGTCAGCAATGGAGATGGAAGTGTGGGCGGTCATAGCCGTGGGATGTCAGGTAGAAGGCAAGCACCGGCCAGTGTGGCTCAGTGGTTGAGCATTAACCTATGACCTAGGAGGTCACGGTTCTACCCCAATCAGGGCACATGCCGGGGTTGCAGGCTCAACCCCCGGTGGGGGGCGTGCAGGAGGCAGCTGATCCATGATTCTCTCTCATCATTGATGTTTCTATCTCTCTCTCCCTCTCTCTCTGAAATCAATAAAAAATATTTTTAAAAAGAAGAAGGCAGGTGATGGGGTGGACCAGTAGACCGTCCCTTGGCTGGGCTGAGAGAAATGGGGAATGTTCGTACCGAGACGTGGTGAGCGTGCTGACATGGACGTTAGATGCCGAGCCATAGGCGGCTCTGAGTGGACGCTGAGGCTCCTGACTGGGTCGCGCTGTTGGAAGAGACGCTTCGAGGAGTGAGCACACACATGGGCCCATCTCTGCGCTGGGGTCTGGATTCCTGGGGGACTGGGGGGAGGGGGTGTGAGAAGCGGCCCTGTGCCTCCTGCTGGTCCTGGGACACAGCGAGCCCCCATTCCTGGGCTTCTGCTTTGGTACCCCCCACTCGCTGGAGCTTCCCCCACATGGCTCTCGTGCACCAGGACTCCGACCTGCCTGCTGAGCCCACCCTGAGTCCCCTGTCCGGAGGCCACAGCGCCACCCTCGGTCTCTGCTTCATTGTTCTCTGTATGTTTGTCTACTTGTTTGTCGGCTTTGGCAAAACAGTTTCTCATCAGAACCTAATCGGTACCTTCATTGCAGACATTCGCTTAGAAGTGACTGCCATAGGCAAGCTTAAACCTACCAGCTGCCGCCTGCCCTGTCAGTCCTCTGGCCAGACACCGACACGCATCACCCGTTTCAATCTCATACAAAACAGCTTCGCTCCCAAGTGGCCACTTAACGGATTTAAGTCAAATGGGAGGGACAGAGACCCCCGAACCCGGGAATTGTACAAGAGCAACATTTGCTTTCCCACACAAGCTTGGTCCAGAGGGAAGCAATCTAGGGCTGGTGTGATGGACGTGACCTTCCAGCTAGCGCCTTTGTCCTTGAAATGCAGCCCCCTCGGGCCTTCACGGGGCTCCAGCCCTGGTCCAGGGGTTCTCACTTCAGTCCGCAGGAAAGGGAAGGAGCCAGGCACACTGCCTCTCTCAGAGCATGGCCGGGCGCCGCTCACACCGCTTTCCCTTGAAGCCCTTTGGCGGGAATTCGTCAAAGAGCCATACATCGCTGAGCGAGGTTGGTAACGTCGACTTTCGTCTTCGCGGCCGTGTGGCCAGCTGAAATTCAGAGCTTAACTTCCTGACCAGGGAGATAGATGGTTAGTGGGAGGAACGGCCCTGTTTTGGCCACAAGAACACATCCACATGATGGTATCTGTCCTCTATCATCCGTCTACCTGTCTGGTACCTGCTGGCCTCCGCCAGGGCCTGGGCATCATCTGGATGGTCAGCAGCCAGGGCTGTGTGGGGCCCAGGGGCACTCGGTGTCCGCTGAATGAATGCGTGGGCTGGAGGGGGACTGAGGGATGCATTGCAGGTCTGGCATGCGATCGGCATTCTCTTCCTGTTACGTCAAGCCTTGGGGGGAATAGGGTCGTAACAAATGAGCAGTCACTGGACTATAAGAAGACAGTGTCTGCTGGTGACAGAAGTGGTTTCATATGTGATTGAAACAGGCGGTACCTTTTGGTGTCTGATCCTGAGGTGACAGGGTTAAGCTAAGCTACTGCAATTGCTTCGGAGCAAATGTTTGTGTTGAAGGTGTTCATTAGGTTCCGATGAGACACCCGGTTAAAATCCCTTCAGTGGTCTTTTCAGGCTGTCCTAGCATTGGCTGCAGCTACTGGTCTGGTCTCTCAGGCCTTGGTTTTCCCGTCTGTGAAATGGAGATTCCGTTTCTACCACGTGGTACCATGGACACCTTCCATGTCGTAGTTTTAGAAACGTCTGATACTTAATGAAAGTTTCACACTGTTATTTAATACTATCACTTATTAGTGTTATTCCTGCAGAAGGAAAGGGTGTGGAACCTTAGCGTAATCAACCACCTTATTCAGTAAATGATAAAAATATATTCAGCAGCCAACCCACAGCTTTCCTATTGGTCACCTTCGTATGTTTCCAGCTCTGGGTTATTTTCAGTTCCACAGGTTAAAATGCTTATGTTGATTTTGGTTTCCAAAATGAAAAGGAGATAATTTAAGTGTTTTTAAAAATGTATCAACTTGCTTGGTTTTGTTTATTTTTTTCCTGTTCTACTTAAAACTGCTTTGCCTTATTTTTTAAGCTCATGTATACCTATTTCTAATAGCTTTCTGGTTTCTGAGTTTATTATTTGTTCCAGAAAAAGAGAGAACAATCGCTGTGTTGTAGGTTGAGACCGTTTGTGGGCTTCATGCCCCAGAGGCCGAGTCTTAGCCAGAGCGCAATGAGTGTTAGCGAGCACTTTCAGTTTCAAATCCATCCTGAAAGCCTGTGCACTTCCATTTTATTTTATACTAGAGGCCCAGTGCACAAATTCGTGCACGGGTGGGGTCCCTCGGCCTGGCTGGCAATTGGGCCGATTGGGGCCGGCCGGGGGGAGGGACCATAGGAAGTTGGCTGTGGGAGCGCACTAACCACCAGGGGGCAGCTCCTGCATTTCGCATCTGCCCCCTGGTGGTCAGTGTGCATCATAGCAACCGGTCGTTTGGTCGACCGATGGTAAGCTTAGTAGGCCCGTGGTTGGCAAACCACGGCTCTCGAGCCACATGCGGCTCTTTGGCCCCTTGAGTGTGGGTCTTCCACAAAATACTGCCACACTCAAGGGGCCAAAGAGCCACATGTGGTTCACGAGCTGCGGTTTGCCAAGCCGCAAGTTTGCCGACCACTGGCTTAGGCTTTTATATATATAGATTTTTATTGATTTTAGAGAGGAAGGGAGAGAAAGAAAGAGAGAGAGAGAGACATCAATGATGAGAGAGAATCATTGTCGGCTGCCTCCTTCTCACCCCACACGGGGGATCGAGTCTGTGACACAGGCATGTGCCCTGACCGGGAATCGAACTATGACCTCCTGGTTCATAGGTCGACGCTCAACCACTGAGCCACTGCAGCTGGGCTGCCCTTCCACAGCCAATGCACTTCCATTTCATCTTCACAGAGAGCTGGTTCCAGGTCAGACTTCCTCAAGGCGAAGAGCCTTCAAATGTGTCCTGTTGCTTAACCAATGTCACCCCATACATTTCATCTAAGAAATTGTCACATTGCCATCTCGCTTTGTCTGCAGCCCCCACCCTCTGATCCCCAAGACCCAGGATGCCCCCCCCACACACACACACTGCCCCAGGGGAGGACCTCTCCTCCCACCTCGGGCTCAGTACTACCCTGTCCTGCCCCACCCAACGTTCTCGTCCCTGCAGCTTCCTCCCAACCCCCTTCACACAGAGGAGACCTGCTCTGCCCTCGGCCCTGCTGCTTTAAGTCAATTCGAGCTGGAGACACACGCGAGGTCTTTTCTCACAGGCAGCCTAATGGGTTCTCCCAGTGGGAGCTGGGCCTCGGGAGGCCAGTGGGGAGATGTCGGTCAGAGCTTGTCAGCCCCCCTCAACCAAACTGCCCCCTTGCCGGGCTGCCGGGCTCCCTGCACCCCCGGCACCACTTGCTAAAGAGGAGGAGTTTCAATAAGGGGAACCTGGCTGCCAGCAGAGCCCCTGACACGGTGCCACCGACAGGGGTATGAGCGGCGCTGCTCCACCCGCGGGCACCGGGGCTGTGTGCCCTTCCCGCCTAGGCACGTGTTTCCAATTCCGTGGCTTTCTCCGTCCTGTGTTCAGTCTGTATTTGGTGGCTGCGGGCAGGTAGAGGTTAGGGCCAGGTCCGGGGGCCCAGGGTGTGGGGATTGAGCGCCTGAGAGGCGGGCAGACAGCCGTGAGCGTGATTGAGGCTCAGTCTGGACCCCTGCACACATCACCCAAACAGGCCGCTGCCGGGCAGCGTGGCACGAGCAACCCGAGAGGCCACACCGTGTGCTGACCGGGAGGAGGGGTGATAGCTCACATCACTGAGGCGTCCGTGGTGGCATGTGCGTGTGCGTGGGCGTGGGCGTGGGCTCGCAAACGCCCTCCGTTTTCCTGGACGGCTGACCGGCTGCACGTCACCGTGGTGACTATTTCCCTCGACTGCGGAGGGTTTAGCTTACCCCGGAGCTCCTTAGCCGCCCCCCGGAGGCAGGTGGGTGTCAGCAGGGCTGTGAGGTTATGCCACTGGCCCAGGTGACACAGGGTAAGACAGGCTATGCGTGTGCACCGGGCTCAGTGCAGTGCAGGCCGGAGGGCAGCGCAGGACGAAGAGGAACAGGGAAGCGCCCGGCGGCCAACGGGGTGGGCATGGCCATGTCTCGCAGGCGGGAGCTGAGGCTCCGAGAGGTCCCACCCTCACTCGTCATCCTTGAGCGGCTCCCAGATGGAAGGAAACCAGGCTCCTTCTGCCCGCACTCTGTCGCAGAAGCCGCCCTCTCCCTGAGCTCTGGGTGTCGCGTGTTGACAGCTTCATGACTCGACGGAGCCGCGGACTTGGCCGCGTTCAAGGGTCATGTCAGGCTCCCCTTACGACGCCTGTGGGCCCTGCATCCCACACCCCGTGTGCTCTGGCCATGGTGCTTTTCACTCATAACTTCTGTGGCCCCTT